AACTCTTTTTCCAAGATTTACAACAAAGAGGAATAGTGGCTAATGTGGCTAATTTAGATAATTTTTACCAACTGGAATTTGAACCAAAAAAAAAGGTGGTTTATTTAGGGATAGATTGCACGGGAGAAAGACTTCATATTGGACATTTATTTTTACTCGTTCAGACTATTCGTTTTGCCAAAGAAGGTTTTCAAATTCTCCTGGTTTTAGGCGGAGCCACCAGTAAAATCGGTGACCCAAGTGATAAAAATGAGGAACGACCGCTACTGGCGATCGAAAAAATTGAGAATTATCAGGCCAAAATAAAAGCGCAAATAGAAAGAATATTAATTAAGCCCAAAAAGAAAGAAAAAAATGACCTTGCCCCTCTCGAACAATTTTACGCTGATAACCCAAAATTACTAAAGGATATTTATCAAATATTAAGTGTAAATCCGACCACCAACAAAGACCAACAATGAGAGGATTATTTACGCTATATTTGACCTTTAAAAGAAAACGACCATTTCCGAATTTTAAATAACAAAGATTGACTAGAAAAAATGAATTTTATTGATTTTTTACGGCAAACCGGCAAATATTTGACTATTGCTTATTTATCCAGCAAAGAGACTGTAAAAAAAAGAATAAATACCGGACTTTCTTTTTTAGAATTTAGTTATCCGCTTATCCAGGCTTATGATTTTTATTATTTATACAAAAATTATAATTGTCATGGACAATTAGGAGGCAGCGACCAGTGAGGAAATTTGACCACTGGTTTAAAATTAATTAAGAGTTTTTCTCCGGAAAATAAGACTTTTGCTTTCAATTTCCCTCTTTTGGCCGACTCCAGCGGCAAAAAAATCTCTAAAAGCGAAAGCGGCAAGCAGGCGTTATGGCTAGATAGCGAACACAAGGTGTTTTTCGATTTTTTTAGGAATATGCCCGACGAACAGGCCAAAATTTATATCAAACAATTTACTTTTTTGAGCGAGAGCCAAATTAACGAGTTATCAAAATTGAATAATCCTCCTAGTCGCAGGATATTTCAGCGAATTTTATACGAATTCTTATGATTTATTAACAGTTAAGAGTAGGATTTTTATTTTTCTAATCAGAAGCCGACTGGGGTTAGAATGATTGTGGAATAAGCAAATTAGTAATAAATGCTTTTAAAATAAAATTAGTTATAGAGCGCTTATAGCCCAGTGGATAGAGCGCTTGTTTGCGGAGCAAGAGGTCGGAGGTTCGATTCCTCCTAAGCGCGCCATGTTATCAACAATGAAAGGTAAAGAGGTTAGAAAATCAAAAATTATATTATATGCCAACCCTAAATCTGAAAAATATTGCTATCACCCAAAAAGAAGATAAAAACCTTAATCCATACTATCTTATTATCGATAAAGATACGAACAATGCCTATTTTTGTTTCTCTGGTGCCGTCAAAAGCGGTTGGGAGGATTTAACTAATAATTACGAAAGTATCCATGAAGTAGAATTAGAATTTGAAACTAATGAACGAGGTAATAATAAAGTAACCAGTCTGTATGCAATCAAAGAGGAGGAAATAATAGCGTAATACACTATGTCTGTTATTTTCAGATAATTGCTTAAACAAATGAGTTTGTTAACTAGCGGCTTAAAATTGCCGTTGAAAATAATAAGTTGGTTGATGGGCGGAAAGAGAAAAGCCATTCCAAATGCTTTTTCTAAAAGAAAACCACCCAAAACCGACCTAGAGAAAAAACAGTTAGAGCATGTATGAAATTTTGACCCCGCACGCGTAAAAAGTCGTAGTTGACAACGGCGAGTAGGAAAAAAATTGCCTCCTCACCAAAAAAAGCGTTATAAAAGCAAACGAAAGAACAAAAGCAAAAAAAGTGCTTAATTGCTTAAATATTATTATATAAAGCAATACAAAATAAAGATGGAAGACGTTCGGCAAGGGCAGCACGAATAAAGACAATGACAGAACAACCAATTAGCCCAAATCCAAATAAATCCTGACCACCGAAGAAATTAAAAGTTTAAAATAGAATTAAAAGGTCATGTCAAGCAAAAATAATGTAATTGAAGAAATTCAAGAATTAATCCAAAAAATTAAAAATGAATATGAGGAGGGAGTTGATTTTGAAATTCCTTATTATTCAGAAAAACATAAAACGGGGGCGATAAGTCATCTTTCGCCACGTTTAAAAAGTTTTTTGCGAAAGAAGTTTGATTTTCCGTCGGGTGTCAACGACTATTTAGATTATAGCAAAACTAATTCCGCTAATAATTATTATTATCGACTTGATGGCGAACATGGCAAGGGAGAACACGAAGGTTTATATTGACGTCTTACTAATAGAGGGTTAGAACATGAGAAACCGAAAAAGTGTAAGAATTGTGGAGAAATGACTTTTGAGGAAAAAGGTCGGATGTTGTTATGAAATGAAAAAACAATTGGCAAAGAATTTGGTCAAGGTTCAAAAGTTATCGCTTACTTCCACCCCGAATGTGCGAAAAAATACTTTGCGGGTAAAGAACAATCAAACGAAAATAATGTTCGGATAAAAGAAAAATTATTGCGAAATTTGGATAAAATATGTTTAGACCCAGACGGTTATTTGGCGAATAACGAATATTTAAAAACAGATGAAGCGGAGGAAGAATACCAAAAGACATTTAACTTGCCGTATCAAAGGGAATGAAAAAACCGCTATCTGAAAATAACCATTGAAGGTGAGGAAATAGACTTATACGATTTTGATAATGCTAGCAGCGAATATTATGAGGTAAAAAGAGAATTGGTTAAGAAAATAAAGCAAGAAATAGAGCAAAATCCTTCCGAGTGGAAAATTGAGCGGGGGAAAAATGAGAATTATGCTGACAAAAACCTAAATCAACTGGTTAAACATCAGCCATCCGGTCGGAGGTATTGAAAATTAGCGATTAATCATTATTGAGGTGGCGGAAAAAATGAAATAGTAAAATATTGAGCCGAAATTGAAACCCTAATAAATGGTTCTCCTTTGCCAGTTGATAACAATAAAAAAATGAACGACCACGAACGAGAATGATTAAAAAATATTTTTCAAAAATACCATATTACGAAAATTATCTTTGAAAATGGTACTTTATCCATTGACTACGACCAAGAAATTAATTCTGTCGAACAAGCCAAAATAAACGATAAGTTATTCCAAGAAATAAGAGAATATTTTCAAGTCCACAACCAAAAAGAAATAACCAGAGAAAGTTTAAATATTGGTAATACTACTAATTCTAATTCTGATAACAGAAATAAATATCTCTGACTATTTGGAAGTATTGGGGTGGGAGCAGTAATTATCGCTCTAGGACTGGTTTTTTATTTTCGCTCTAAAAAGAGAAAAAAATAACCAATGGACTTAATTAACAGTTGAATTTTAAATGAATTAGCCCTTTGTCAAAAGAATTATTTTTACCATTTAAAAAGAAAAGAAATCAATTTCGCCACCGCACAACTTATTAAATTTGCGCGAGAAAAATTAAGCAATGAGTATTTGGAATTAAGCAAAATTGCTCCTTGGGATACTGATACTAAAAACACTACACTTTTTGTTTATCAGCAATTATTAATTATGCTTCACCCGGCTACTCCCTTTATTACCGAGCATATTTACCAAGAATTAACCCACCAAAAAATATTACAATCCGAAATTGAAATTATTGACCTAAAAGACCAAAAGCAAGCACTCTGACAAATTGATTGTTTACTGCTTCTAGTAAGTAGTATTCGTAATTTTCACCAAAAAAGTAATATTGATAAATTTTATTTAGAACTGACTCCTGAATGAAAAAATAAATTGAATAATGCTTTCGATTTTAACCTATATTTAGAGCCATTAACCAAGAGTAAAATTTTCATTTTAGAAAAGGAAAGAATTTGCTCTGAACTTTCTCAAAAAGAGAAAAAAACCGAGTTCAGTTCTTTTCTGGATTTGCCACCTTTCGGCGTTCTGTGATATCACGAAAAAATTGACCAAAAAGAATTAGAAAACCAATTAAAATTCTATGAAGCCGAATGCCAAAGGAGCCAAGGCATATTAGCCAATGAAAATTTTCAAAAAAAGGCACCCTCACAATTAATAGAAGAAGAAAAAAAAAAATTGATTTATTATCAAGAGCAAAAGAAAAAAATCCAAGCCAAGTTGAAAAGTTCTTTAAAATAATACAAAAATATAAAAAGACAATGTGGGTTGTGTCAAATTTTTTATTTTTTATGAAAACCAACCTCTTTCAACTTTCGTCTTTCCTCGGCGATTGAGAAAATGAAATCTTTTTCTCTCATTTTGTTCGCCTAAAATTATTAAACTCTTTTTACAGTGTCCGAGAAGCAAAAATAAGTTTATTGACTTTCATTGTCAGTGGTATTTTTTAGGTTAGTGGTTGGCATATAATTTTATTTTTTGTTCTCTTTTCTAGTCAAAAATTTCCCATTTCCTTAAAAGTTAAATCACAACCAAGGAATTTCCTGTTTAGTTCCTGACAAACTTCCAAAACTACAAAAGAACCAGCACACGGATCAACAATTAAATCCCTGGGTTGGTGGTGGCGGTAATTAGGGCTTTTACTAATTCTCTGGGTTTTTGGTGGGGATGCTTCCTCTGGGAGACTGTTAACGGCTTTTCCTCCCAGACATTCCCAAAACTTCTATTTTTGAATACTTTGCCAGTCTGCGGGTATTTCTGAACTAAAAAACAGAATTCGGCATTACTTCTTAATCAATTTCCTAATCCTAAATAATTCTTTTTGTGTCAAACCAAACAATCTACTATTTTTAAA